GAGATATTCTCTCTCTCAGGTTGAATGTTCTTCATATATACAGAATCAAGAAAATGCTGCATTATGGCCACTAGATGGAGCTGATGATTACAGGAAATAAATGCGTTTATTTTCTAAACCAGCCTGGAGTTCAGGTTTAAAAAAAAGAATATAAAAATCCTGCTGGTAAAGTAAGCTATTGCAGCCTGCTGTCTCATCACTAATACAGTATAGTACATCAACCTGTGAAATATCTAACAAAGTCGATCCTGGGGTTTAACTACATAAAAAACTCAATGAGCATTCAAGCACACACAATGACATTTCTGGACAGACAATGACAATGACACTTTAGAAAGGGCCCATTTTATTGTGATGGACTGTAAGTTATGACAAATATTCTCAAAGCAGTAGTGTATGTGGTTGAGTTTCAGGGTCTGGTTACCCTTTCCATTTGACTTCTGAAATCACGTGTCCTCTACCTGCCCCTGTCCTTTGGTGTTCCCTCACCAAGCGAAGTATCGCATGCTGTGGGCTCAGCCCCACTGTACAGTGAGGAAGAGCTAACAGAGGGCGGTCAGGAACGGGGGGAGACATCCGCCTCTTCAGCAGCCAGGCGAAGAAGTACTGGCGAGGAGAGTGGCTCGGTAGCCGGTCTAGAGACAGGTCTGTCTCCTGACCCACACGCAGCCGAGGGGGCTAGTAGTGAGGCGGAGACCCTAATTGATGATGATGAGGCTGATCGCACTTGGCAGCCTCGTCGTCATCAGGCTATTGCTTCCGCATCATCAGGAGAAGAGGGTGCCAGCTTGGCAGCGAGCAAAACAGTCGGTGGGTTGCCCAGGAGGCAGCAGGGTCGCAGCAGTGTCAGTGGAGGCAAACGGCCACGGAGTACAGCACCAGCTCCACTGCAGCCTACCACCACGGCCAGTAGTGGTGCCGGTGTGCATGGAGGAAGTAGCAGTCAGCCAGTGAGGAGTAGCGGGGGCAAAGTTTCCTACTCGGCGGTGTGGCAATTTTTCGTCAAGCCGCCCGAGGAAGTAAACGTAGCCGTATGTCAACTATGTGGCCAGAAAGTCAAGCGTGGCCAGGGGGCCCATGTTGGGACTACAGCGTTGCGGCAGCATATGCAGCGTCGCCATTTGGTGGCCTGGGGAAAACCGTGATAAAGATACGGCGGTTCTGCCTGCCCCAGCCCCCGCTCCATCACCCGCTCCGTTACTTGCTCCGTCACCCGACGTCAATTGCCCTCTATCAGCCAGTCAAGGCTCCAACACCTCTGCTGAGGGGAGTTGTCGCTCGTTGGCATCTTCCGCTCGTTCAGATGCTCCTTCTCCTGCTACTCCTCTTCACGGATTCCGTCAGCAGTCTTTCTTGGAATCCGTTTCAACAGTTTGCGAGCATGCACCCGACGGTGCAGAAGCTGAACGTCCTCCTGTCCAAGTTGCTGGTGCTGCAGTCCCTCCCTTTCCAAGTGGTGGACTCAGCACCTTTCCGAGAAATGATGGCTTGTGCCGCGCCGCGGAGGAGAGTGCCAAGCCGTCATTTCTTCGCCAAAAAGGCAGTGCCAGCCCTGCATTCACATGTAGAAGAGATGGTGGGCCAGTCTTTGAGCATGTCGGTCTCTGCCAAAGTGCACGGCAGCGCCGACGTGTGGAGCTGTAACTACGGTCAGGGACAGTACATGTCATTTACGGCCCACTGGGTGAACGTGGTGCCGTCACAGCCGCACCAGCAACTTGGACAGGTCCCGCCGCTTTTGCCTCCACGTTTGCACGTCCTTGGTCCGGCAAAGATGTCCGCCTCTACCACCTCTTCTTCCACCGTGTCCTCAGCCGCCACCCCCGTGCCAAGTCCCATTACCCGACCGGCATATCACATGTGCAGGGCGCAACGGTGTCACGCTGTGCTGCACCTGGTATGCCTTGGCGAACGTAGTCACACAGGGGAGGAACTTCTGAGTGTAATGAACAGAGAAATCGACAGATGGCTGTCTCCGCGCAAACTGAAAATCGGAACTATGTTGACCGACAACGGAAAGAACATGGTGTCTGCTCTGCGTCAAGGAAGGTTGTGCCATGCGCCATGCATGGCTCACGTGTTCAATCTGGTTGTCAAGCGGTTCCTAAAATCCACCATCCCACTGCAAGACATCCTTAAAATGTCACGTAAACTTTGCATGCATTTCAGCCATTCCTACACCGCAAAGCACACCCTCCTTGAGCTGCAGCGGCAGAACGGAATTCCACAGCATCGCCTGATCTGCGACGTTGCAACAAGGTGGAATTCAACCCTACACATGTTAGACCGCCTTTACGAACAGCAAAAGGCCATCACCGATTTCCTGATGTTACAAGCGGATAAAGGTACTACTCCCCTGTGTAACTTCGATGTCAGCCATTGGCAGCTCATGCGTGACACCTGCCGCTTGCTCAGGCCCTTTGAGGAGGCCACGCTATTCGTGAGTCGGCAGGACTATGGGATGAACGACGTCATTCCTCTGTTGCACGTCCTGGAACAAATGCTGTTAACAATGGCTGGTCAGGGTGCGGTAGACGTGGCGCACAGATCTCAACGCCACATGACCCCTGTGGGGGCAGGACAGGAAGAAGAGGAGGAGGTAGAGGAGGACATTGGTGCTCAGGAATTATTGAGTGAAATGGGTGGTTTTTCCACTCAGCGGACAGGAGTGAGGAGCAGGAGCATCTGGTAGAGGAGGAGGAGGAGGAGACAGAGGACCCAGACGCACCGTGGCAGTATGCTGTGGAGATGGAGGCAGGGAGTCCCTCGCATTCCTTGGCACAAATGGCCCATAGCATGCTCGGTTGCTTGCGTAGCGACAGCCGAATAATAACCATCAGACAGAGGGATGACTTTTGGCTGTCCACCTTGTTGGACCCTCGCTACCGTTCAAAAATGGTGGCCTTTTTCACACCTGCTGAGAGGGAGGCCAAAATAACGTACTATAAAAACCACCTATGTAGTCAGTTGGTCTCTGCCTTTCTGCGCCAACGTCCATCCTCAGACACTGTGGGCCCTGTGCGCTCGCGTTCCGCTGCCATGGCAGCAGGGGAGGGGTGGGGTGGTAGGAGCAGTGGCAGCTCCACCAGCAGCGGCTGCCACAGTCTGCAGTCGATGATGAGTAGCTTTCTTCACCAGCGCAGTGAGGAAACTACTAACCAGCCGCAGCAGCAGCAGCATCAGGTGGACCTGGAGCAGGACCTCAAACAACAGGCTTGGGCCTACTTGGACAGCACCCTGCCAACCGAGGTAGACAATCCCCTTGACTACTGGGCAACGAAACTTGACCTTTGGCCCCAACTAGCTGAATTTGCCCTTGAAAGGCTGTCATGCCCGGCCAATAGCGTGGCATCATCGGAGCGCGTGTTTAGTGCGGCAGGAGGTATTGTAACTCCGCGGAGGACACGACTGTCCACCCAAAGTGTGGAGAGACTCACGTTTGTGAAAATGAATCAGGAGTGGATTAGTCTGGATTTCAAACCACCAGTTCCTGACACAACTGACTAAATCCGCCATGAATCATGCCCCAAACATGTGCCACTTTCAGGTCTCCTCACACTGCTGGTGGGTTCCATTTTGTCATAGGGTGCTGGCAGATTACGGGCCTCCCATTGCTGCTGCCAGGCCCGTAATCTGCCATGGGGCCCCGTACCGCCTCCTCATGCTGCTGCCAGGTCCACAGTGTCTCTGTCAGGAATCAAGGAATGACCATTGAAAGCTGTGGACTGACACAGGGAAACTGGTTTCAGGTATAGTATTCAGGTTATTATTAGCCACCCACTGCTGGTGTGTTCCATTTTGTATAGGGTGCACAGTGAACAAACTAACCTTCCACTAATCTGGAGGTGCAGGAACACAGGCGTAGTCAGGGCTGGAGAGGTGGAATGGTCAGTTTGGCCTCCTCATGGCCGGCTGTAGGGTTCTGTAACGACTGCCTGGTGGTACCTCTAGCGGTCCTCAGGGCAGGATTCCCCAGGGCCGGAGTCTAAGTCCCCAGTCTGCTATTCACCAGGGCCCCTGATGGTGGGGATGGACTTGTCAGCAGACAGGAACCAGGTCGCGGCCCCTGAGTACACCTGCTAGTGATAGAGGGATCCCGGCCAGAGGTATGGGCAGGTACGGCTGGATCCGTGCAGGATGGATGGATGGCAGAGTAGTTAGGTCCCTGTCACGGCCTCAGCAACATGCGGCAGCAAGGTATCAAAGCCACACTCAGCCAGTGCCACTGGTCAAGGTCACAAGCCGGGTTCAGTAACTCACGGACAGCGCAGTACAGAGGATCAGGCAGAAGGATGGTCAGGGATGAGCCAGTACGTCAGAACAGGAGACGGTCAACAGGCCAATCAGAATCAGCCAGGGTCGGCAACAAGGTATCTTCTCACAGGAACAGGATACGGCTCTCCCATTGGCTCAGTGGCCACTTTCAGGTCTCCTCACACACTGCTGGGGAAACATACACCAAGGCCCAGAGTGCAGGCCTGATTACATGCCTCCCATACACTTTCTGTAATCAGCCCCAGGTTTGGCTGATGGAGCTTCTGGCTGCTAAGAGCACCCGCTGGTCAGCTCTGGTACTGCAGCCCACACGGCAGGAGAGTCCCACCACCAGTGCTGGAGCACCCGCGGCCTCAGCTCTGGTACTGCAGCCCACACATCGCAGGAGAGTCCCACCACCAGTGTCTCCTCAGCACTGCTGGTGTTTTCATTCTGGTCATAGGGTGCTGGCAGATTACGGGCCCCCATTGCTGCTGCCAGGCCCGTTAATCTGCCATGGGCCCCAGTGCCTTGAATCTCATGCTGCTGCCAGTCCATGGGTCTCATGGGTCCCTGTACGGCCTCCCATTGCTGCTGTCTCCATCGCCACACTCTGCCATGTGCCACTTTCAGGTCTCCTCACACTGCTGGTGTGTTCCATTTTGTCATAGGGTGCTGGCAGATTACGGGGCCTCCCATTGCTGCTGCCAGGCCCGTAATCTGCCATGGGCCCCCATACCGCCTCCTCATGCTGCTGCCAGGTCCAGAGTGTCTCATGGGTCCCTGTACGGCCTCCCATTGCTGCTGTCTCCATCGCCACACTCTGCCATGTGCCACTTTCAGGTCTCCTCACACTGCTGGTGTGTTCCATTTTGTCATAGGGTGCTGGCAGATTACGGGCCTCCCATTGCTGCTGCCAGGCCTGTAATCTGCCATGGGCCCCTGTACCGCCTCCTCATGCTGCTGCCAGGTCCAGAGTCTCTTATGGGTCCCTGTACGGCCTCCCATTGCTGCTGTCTCCATCGCCACACTCTGCCATGTGCCACTTTCAGGTCTCCTCACACTGCTGGTGTGTTCCATTTTGTCATAGGGTGCTGGCAGATTACGGGCCTCCCATTGCTGCTGCCAGGCCCGTAATCTGCCATGGGCCCCCGTACCGCCCGCCTCCTCATGCTGCTGCCAGGTCCACAGTGTCTCATGGGTCCCTGTACGGCCTCCCATTGCTGCTGTCTCCATCGCCACACTCTGCCATGTGCCACTTTCAGGTCTCCTCACACTGCTGGTGTGTTCCATTTTGTCATAGGGTGCTGGCAGATTACGGGCCTCCCATTGCTGCTGCCAGGCCCGTAATCTGCCATGGGCCCCTGTACCGCCTCCTCATGCTGCTGCCAGGTCCACAGTGTCTCATGGGTCCCTGTACGGCTCCCATTGCTGCTGTCTCCATCGCCACACTCTGCCATGTGCCACTTTCAGGTCTCCTCACACTGCTGGTGTGTTCCATTTTGTCATAGGGTGCTGGCAGATTACGGGCCTCCCATTGCTGCTGCCAGGCCCGTAATCTGCCATGGGCCCCTGTACCGCCTCCTCATGCTGCTGCCAGGTCCAGAGTGTCTAATGGGTCCCTGTACGGCCTCCCATTGCTGCTGTGCTCCATCGCCACACTCTGCCATGTGCCACTTTCAGGTCTCCTCACACACTGCTGGTGTGTTCCATTTTGTCATAGGGTGCTGGCAGATTACGGGCCTCCCATTGCTGCTGCCAGGCCTGTAATCTGCCATGGGCCCCCCGTACCGCCTCCTCATGCTGCTGCCAGGTCCAGAGTGTCTAATGGGTCCCTGTACGGCCTCCCATTGCTGCTGTCTCCATCGCCACACTCTGCCATGTGCCACTTTCAGGTCTCCTCACACTGCTGGTGTGTTTCCATTTTGTCATAGGGTGCTGGCAGATTACGGGCCTCCCATTGCTGCTGCCAGGCCTGTAATCTGCCATGGGCCCCTGTACCGCCTCCTCATGCTGCTGCCAGGTCCAGAGTGTCTCATGGGTCCCTGTACGGCCTCCCATTGCTGCTGTCTCCATCGCCACACTCTGCCATGTGCCACTTTCAGGTCTCCTCACACTGCTGGTGTGTTCCATTTTGTCATAGGGTGCTGGCAGATTACGGGCCTCCCATTGCTGCTGCCAGGCCTGTAATCTGCCATGGGCCCCTGTACCGCTCCTCATGCTGCTGCCAGGTCCACAGTGTCTCATGGGTCCCTGTACGGCCTCCCATTGCTGCTGTCTCCATCGCCACACTCTGCCATGTGCCACTTTCAGGTCTCCTCACACACTGCTGGTGTGTTCCATTTTGTCATAGGGTGCTGGCAGATTACGGGCCTCCCATTGCTGCTGCCAGGCCCCTAATCTGCCATGGGCCCCCGTACCGCCTCCTCATGCTGCTGCCAGGTCCAGAGTCTCTCATGGGTCCCTGTACGGCCTCCCATTGCTGCTGTCTCCATCGCCACACTCTGCCATGTGCCACTTTCAGGTCTCCTCACACTGCTGGTGTGTTCCATTTTTTCATAGGGTGCTGGCAGATTACGGGCCTCCCATTGCTGCTGCCAGGCCCGTAATCTGCCATGGGCCCCTGTACCGCCTCCTCATGCTGCTGCCAGGTCCAGAGTCTCTCATGGGTCCCTGTACGGCCTCCCATTGCTGCTGTCTCCATCGCCACACTCTGCCATGTGCCACTTTCAGGTCTCCTCACACTGCTGGTGTGTTCCATTTTTTGTCATAGGGTGCTGGCAGATTACGGGCCTCCCCCATTGCTGCTGCCAGGCCCGTAATCTGCCATGGGCCCCTGTACCGCCGCTCTCCTCATGCTGCTGCCAGGTCCACAGTGTCTCATGGGTCCCTGTACGGCCTCCCATTGCTGCTGTCTCCATCGCCACACTCTGCCATGTGCCACTTTCAGGTCTCCTCACACTGCTGGTGTGTTCCATTTTTGTCATAGGGTGCTGGCAGATTACGGGCCTCCCATTGCTGCTGCCAGGCCCGTAATCTGCCATGGGCCCCTGTACCGCCTCCTCATGCTGCTGCCAGGTCCCACAGAGTGTCTCATGGGTCCCTGTACGGCCTCCCATTGCTGCTGTCTCCATCGCCACACTCTGCCATGTGCCACTTTCAGGTCTCCTCACACTGCTGGTGTGTTCCATTTTGTCATAGGGTGCTGGCAGATTACGGGCCTCCCATTGCTGCTGCCAGGCCTGTAATCTGCCATGGGCCCCTGTACCGCCTCCTCATGCTGCTGCCAGGTCCAGAGTGTCTAATGGGTCCCTGTACAGCCTCCCATTGCTGCTGTCTCCATCGCCACACTCTGCCATGTGCCACTTTCAGGTCTCCTCACACTGCTGGTGTGTTCCATTTTGTCATAGGGTGCTGGCAGATTACGGGCCTCCCATTGCTGCTGCCAGGCCTGTAATCTGCCATGGGCCCCTGTACCGCCTCCTCATGCTGCTGCCAGGTCCAGAGTGTCTAATGGGTCCCTGTACGGCCTCCCATTGCTGCTGTCTCCATCGCCACACTCTGCCATGTGCCACTTTCAGGTCTCCTCACACTGCTGGTGTGTTCCATTTTTTCATAGGGTGCTGGCAGATTACGGGCCTCCCATTGCTGCTGCCAGGCCTGTAATCTGCCATGGGCCCCTGTACCGCCTCCTCATGCTGCTGCCAGGTCCACAGTGTCTCATGGGTCCCTGTACGGCCTCCCATTGCTGCTGTCTCCATCGCCACACTCTGCCATGTGCCACTTTCAGGTCTCCTCACACTGCTGGTGTGTGTTCCATTTTGTCATAGGGTGCTGGCAGATTACGGGCCTCCCATTGCTGCTGCCAGGCCCGTAATCTGCCATGGGCCCCGTACCGCCTCCTCATGCTGCTGCCAGGTCCAGAGTCTCTCTCATGGGTCCCTGTACGGCCTCCCATTGCTGCTGTCTCCATCGCCACACTCTGCCATGTGCCACTTTCAGGTCTCTCCTCACACTGCTGGTGTGTTCCATTTTTTCATAGGGTGCTGGCAGATTACGGGCCTCCCATTGCTGCTGCCAGGCCCGTAATCTGCCATGGGCCCCCGTACCGACTCCTCATGCTGTGACGTTGCAACAAGGTGGAATTCAACCCTACATATGTTAGACCGCCTTTACGAACAGCAAAAGGCCATCACCGATTTCCTGATGTTACAAGCGGATAAAGGTACTCCCCTGTGTAACTTCGATGTCAGCCATTGGCAGCTCATGCGTGACACCTGCCGCTTGCTCAGGCCCTTTGAGGAGGCCACGCTATTCGTGAGTCGGCAGGACTATGTGATGAACGACGTCATTCCTCTGTTGCACGTCCTGAAACAAATGCTGTTAACAATGGCTGGTCAGGGAGCGGTAGACGTGGCGCACAGATCTCAATGCCACATGACCCCTGTGGAGGCAGGACAGGAAGAAGAGGAGGAGGTAGAGGAGGACATTGGTGCTCAGGAATTATTGAGTGAAATGGGTGGTTTTTCCACTCAGCGGACAGGAGTGGAGGAGCAGGAAGCATCTGGTAGAGGAGGAGGAGGAGGAGACAGAGGACCCAGACGCACCGTGGCAGTATGCTGTGGAGATGGAGGCAGGGAGTCCCTCGCATTCCTTGGCACAAATGGCCCATAGCATGCTCGGTTGCTTGCGTAGCGACAGCCGAATAATAACCATCAGACAGAGGGATGACTTTTGGCTGTTCACCTTGTTGGACCCTCGCTACCGTTCAAAAATGGTGGCCTTTTTCACACCTGCTGAGAGGGAGGCCAAAATAAAGTACTATAAAAACCACCTATGTAGTCAGTTGGTCTCTGCCTTTCTGCGCCAACGTCCATCCTCAGACACTGTGGGCCCTGTGCGCTCGCGTTCCGCTGCCATGGCAGCAGGGGAGGGGTGGGGTGGTAGGAGCAGTGGCAGCTCCACCAGCAGCGGCTGCCTCAGACTGCAGTTGATGATGAGTCTTCTTCACCAGCGCAGTGAGGAAACTACTAACCAGCCGCAGCAGCAGCAGCATCAGGTGGACCTGGAGCAGGACCTCAAACAACAGGCTTGGGCCTACTTGGACAGCACCCTGCCAACCGAGGTAGACAATCCCCTTGACTACTGGGCAACGAAACTTGACCTTTGGCCCCAACTAGCTGAATTTGCCCTTGAAAGGCTGTCATGCCCGGCCAGTAGCGTGGCATCGGAGCGCGTGTTTAGTGCGGCAGGAGGTATTGTAACTCCGCGGAGGACACGACTGTCCACCCAAAGTGTGGAGAGACTCACGTTTGTGAAAATGAATCAGGCGTGGATTAGTCTGGATTTCAAACCACCAGTTCCTGACACAACTGACTAAATCCGCCATGAATCATGCCCCAAACATGTGCCACTTTCAGGTCTCCTCACACTGCTGGTGGGTTCCATTTTGTCATAGGGTGCTGGCAGATTACGGGCCTCCCATTGCTGCTGCCAGGCCCGTAATCTGCCATGGGCCCCTGTACCGCGCTCCTCATGCTGCTGCCAGGTCCAGAGTGTGTCATGGGTCCCTGTACGGCCTCCCATTGCTGCTGTCTCCATCGCCACACTCTGCCATGTGCCACTTTCAGGTCTCCTCACACTGCTGGTGGGTTTCCATTTTTGTCATAGGGTGCTGTATGGCCTCCCATTGCTGCTGCCTCCACCGCCACACTGTGGCTCCACACTCTGGTTTTGACCACGAGACAGCCCAAATGAGTGAAGTGTGCGGTGATTCTAAGATCGACGGCACTCATCTGCATGTCATACTGACTGACAGTATTATTTCTCTTCCCCAGCAGACTCCAAGGGCATTTAAATTAAAGGTACAGTGTTCTGCACTAATATAAAGGCTCTCTGAAGCCTAGAAACACCCTTTTATAAGTTAAATTCGCAGCGAATATATTCGCCTTGAATCGAATTTATTCCTCAAATTCGCCGAATCAGCCGAATCGAATTTTTGAATACTTCGCTCATCTCTAGTCATAATCACAATCATAGCCTTAGGTCAGTGGTGGGCAACCTTTTTTTTCAACTGAGCCAAATCTCGCCAAAACCACGATTGAAATTTATTTTTTTTGAGCCACATTTTTAAAACTGAAAATACATCCCCCATATAGTAATTCATCCCCCATATAGTAATTCACCCCCCATATAGAAATTCATCCCCCATAGTAATTCATCCCCCATATAGTAATTCATCCCCCATAGTAATTCATCCCCCATATAGTAATTCATCCCCCATATAGTAATTCATCCCCCATAGTAATTCATCTCCCATATAGTAATTCATCCCCCATATAGTAATTCATCCCCCATAGTAATTCATCCCCCATATAGTAATTCATCCCCCATAGTAATTCATCCCCCATATAGTAATTCATCCCCCATAGTAATTCATCCCCCATATAGTAATTCATCCCCCATATAGTAATTCATCCCCCATAGTAATTCATCCCCCATAGTAATTCATTCCCCATATTGTGTCAATTCACTTACCTTTGCTCCGCGCGTTCCTCTCGCCGTGTTCCCGCACCGTTCCGGTCTTCAGGGCGGACTGTGAGAGGAGAGGAGTTCGTCACGCTGCCCCGCCTACATCCTGACAGCCAATGTTTGCCACGCTCCGTGGGCCGGATTAAAAGGTCCGCCGGGCCGTAGTTTGCCCATTGCTGGGCTAGCTGCAGAGTCCTGACTTTTGGGGCGGCCGCCCGAGAGGAGGGAGGGGAGCGGGCGCCTGGCACACAGAAGAGCCGCATTAAAATGTGTAAAGAGCCGCGGCTTGCCGACCACTGAGCTACGGCAACCCTATTGCCTGTCACCTGGTGGGCAGTGTGCTCCGGAGCCGCAGCAAAGGTGAAAAAGAGCCGCATGCGCTCTAGATGCATGCAGCCTACATCCTGGCCAGCAGTCCTAATCGCATGAAACCGCTCTTACAGGGAGCAATTCTGGCCACTTCGACTGCTGGCTGCACCAGTTCATGCATCTTGGCTGAAGATTCTTTCCAGTAAGGGCTCGTTCACACTAGGCTGTTTTGCCAACGCTTGCCAAACGCCCCTATAGCTTTTGGCAAGCGTTGGTCCGGCGTTTGCGGAGCGTTATTAACGCTCGGCAAACGCTCCGCAAGCGCCGCATGCGCGGTTTAGCGGCGGTTGCTAGGCGTTTGCCGAGCGTTAATAACGCCCCACAAACGCCTATAATGCAGTTTGAGTGGTGTTACCGCTCCGCAAATGCCCCGCAACCGCGTCGCAACCGCACCGCAAACGCCGGCCGGGCATTTGCGGAGCGGCACCATAGACGAGAATAGGAGGCTTCAAAGCCTCCTGACTCGTCCAGAGGCGTCTGTTTTGCCGCGACGCAACGCAACGTGACGCAAACGCTCCCGTTAGAACAGCACCATGTGCTGTAATGTGCAGAATTGGCAGAGGCGTTTGGGAAGCGGTAAAAACGCTTACCAAACGCCTCTCTGCCGCCTGCACACAAGGCTAGTGTGAACGTAGCCTTAATCAGTCATCCGAATGAAGCCTAAGGCTAGGTTCACATCTGTGCGGGGGTGCCGCTGCAGATCCGCATGAAAATCCTTGCAGCCGCACTACCTGCACAGAGAAATGCGGACCCGCAGGCGGGTGCCACTAGTTCTAATGGCACGCCACCCACACTAGAAATCACAACCATACCGGAAACCAAGGTTCCCTTGCGGGATACGTTTTCAGAAGAAGTGCAGGGACTTCTCCCCTGGGTGTCACAGGGCACGGGAGTCCATTCACATGAATGGGCTCTCGTGCCCGCACAAAAATGCGGCCCGCACGGTCGCATATATGTGAACCGGGGCTAAGTGCTCGGTCATACCGGTGCAATAACAGGTGCGATTTGGGAATTGAAATCGCACCTGAACTTGTATCAAATGAATGTGACTGTCAGTGTCTTAACATTTGCGATTTGCTACAGTGCGATTTCTAAAGTAGTTCTTGCATTACTTACTAAAATTGTACAAAAATAAATAAAATGGTAAAAATCATAAAAA